GTCCCCACTAAGCCCACTTCTCACCTTTAGGTCACCTGTCACTCACCTGCTCCTACGCTTTGTCCAACACTCACCCAAGGAGGAGCTAGTACCCTTGAGCCTGGAGTCATGACAGGCTTTGTGCAGTTCTGTGTGAGCAAAGCTGTAGTTCTCGTCCTTTTAGGGGCTACCATAGGGGTGGGAAATATGGGAAAGAGTTGTGTGGGTTGGACCTGGAAACCTAAAGTTTGCCCCTTCATGGTAATGTCAAGGACCCGGCCAAGGAGTTCAAAGAACAGGATTCTAGGTCTGGCTCTGAGGCTAACTGTGGACCTCTGGAGAAATAAGACATCCCCACACCAGCCTCATTTTCCTCCCGGAACAATGAGAAGTTGCATCCAATGGTCTCCACCCTTTCTCACTCTCATATTCTGGAGCCCTATGACTCACTGGTGGTAAACAGGTCGTAATCAGCTGGTGTCCTCCACCACATCCATACAGGACCTGGAGCATAGTGGGTGCTTAATAGAGATTTATTGTCAGAAGAAATTAATTCGGAGGTTTAAGCAGGACTTGTGGGAGTTTGTTTTGGTTAGAGACTGACTCAAGGGCCACAGACATGTAGGAAAGAACAGATGTTCTCCTCGGAGATCTGTTACATCAGCAGCTTATTTAAAGCACTGTCTCAGAACTTTGCTTTGTCACGTGACACGTGGCCCTGTGTGAACATGTGCTGACTTGAACACCAGCCAGCTTGAAATGAGCAGTTGGAGCTGGTGGAGGGAGGTGGCAAGGGAGGTCCTAAGGTCTCCCCATTGAGTGTGGGGACGGAAGTGGGAGCTAGGAGGGAGGCACGTGGCCTTCCAGACACAGCCTGGGTATGGTGGGCTGGTTTGGAGACACACTCTAGGGCCATGCTGATTTGAAAAGAGCCCTTGACTCTAGGGGTATATTGTGAGACAACTTGAAAGGACTTAATTACAGGGGCTTGTGGGAAGGTAGAGGTGGCTTCACGGAAGGATACGCTTGAGGTAAGGCAGTGTTGGAAGGAATTCAGGGATTTTTCTCGTGGCTGAGTCAGTCTGTAGTTTTCTAAGAGGGGCAATTACTGCCTTCAGGAATGGGGGCTGTTATTCCAGAGCTTAGAGCAGACCCTGGCACATGATGGATGCTACTGGGTGTTTACAAGCTATCAGAAGTCTGCGGAGTCTGTAGCTGGCTTCGCAGTTGAAAGAACTTACAGTAGGTTTTTACCAAAGCCTGGATCACTCGCCTGGCTCTACCTCCCTAGCTCTGGGACTAACCTGAGAGGAATCAGTAGCAGCTTAACACTGCATTATGCTTTACAACTACATAACATTAATATTTACGTTCTTCTTTATTCTTTTGTGCCTTCTCCAAATTCTCCACCTTGAAAGTAAAGTTATTTTAGATTCAGAAAATAATCTGAATTTTAGAAACTTGATTTTAAATGGGAGAGACCCAACTCACGGACCAAGGTGGTTTATCATCCATCCAGTCATGGAAAATCTCAAGACAGCTGCCCTGTTTTCTTCCTTTCTTAGGTAACCATGCTCCTTACTCCACCTGTTGACTGAAAACTTGACATTGAGGAGCTTCCTATTGTCAAAATGTGCCAAGGGCTCAGAATAAGGGACCCTGCTCTCACCCCCGGGCCCAGGCTGTGGGCCAGGCCTACGTGCGTCTCAGCTGCACCAGCCGAATCTAGAAGGCAGGAGGAAGACCTCACCACGCTGAGGTTGGTGGCTCAGGTCCAGAGTACCTGGAGTCAGTGACAGCAAACTTCAATCCCCTAGAGCTCACACACACCTCTGAATCAGAATCCTTGTCAAAGCAGGGCTGCTAGAGATGCCTGTGCATAGCAAAGGAAGATTCTCAGGGCTGTGTCAGCATGAACCCAGTAAGGTGCCAATGCCTCACTCTCGGCAAACTAGTAACAACGAGGCCCCAATATCCACGATAACTACTTTAACGAATGGTTATTCTGTGAGTTGAAGCCCATATCATCATAGAGTCAGCCATACCAGTGGTTAAAACATTGTACACTTCCATACTGGTTGATAAATAGACTCTTCCCAGTGCTCCTCAAATGTCTCACAGCCTGTAGCCCCAGCTGCCTCAGCACCCCTTCCATAGTCCAGCTGGGGCCCTCCACGGCCCAGGTCATGAGCAAGGACTAAGGTCCATTCTCTTTGCTGGTGTGGATCAGCTTCCCCAAAGTCCTGCAGGATACCACCTTTGGCTTCCCCATGTTCCTAGAGGACCAATCTATGCCTTGCTTATGCCTGGCCCTAGGGAACCCCAGGATGGTACCTCATGGGACTTACTTTGGTATTCACCAAACTGTTGGCCTGTGAGCTAGCCCACTGCAGCTCTCGGCCCTGTGTCTCTCCTGGTAAAAGTGGGCCAAACCCCGGTTCCTGGTGCCCAGCTGATCCCTAAGGCTTCAGCTCCCCATCATCAGCCAGTGTTCCCTGGAGTCCTCCTTAGATAGTAGCCCATTGTGCAAAGCCTCTGAGAGACCTGGACTCTGGGAGAGCTGAGAAGAAAAGAGAGAGTTTTTATTGTTACTCTTGTATACGTAGGACTTTTGCTAGTGCAAGGAATAGAGACCCAGGCACGCTAGCTTGAGTAAAGAGGACTTATTGTAAGGCTTCATGTAGAAGACCAAGGGAGCCTCCAGGAAATCCAGGCACAGGAACCATGTTAAGGTTTTTCCTCCATAATACTGGAACTGTGGGAGGCTCTGGATTCAAGGCAACTCTGGTTTCTGAGAAGCAGTTGCCTTCCTCTAATTCAGGGGTAGTGAGCACCAATACCTACATGTGCCAGGCAGGTAACATACATGTGAAGCTGGCCAGATAGAGCATACGAGGGTGTGGTGGAGGCTGGTAGATGGGAAAGCACATGGCCCAAGCAAACTGGCAGCTGCACCCCAGCTTCAGCTGATTGCAGCCATGCAGACTCTGTGTCACTGTTCTGGCTGGCCTTTTATGCAGAATCTCCCCAATTTTACAGATTGGTAACAGATTCACAAAAATGCCTACCATTATGTGGTCCTATTCCATGACAGTCTTATTCCATGACTGCCAGTTATGCACCTTTTCAATTGCTCCACCATTGACCTGACGTCCCGTCTATCAGCTGGTGAATTCCTTCTTTAGTTCCTCTTCAGGCTCCTAAGAAAAGAAAGCTAATTGGCCTGGCTCATCCTTTTGGGTCAGATCAGGCCAGGCCATAACTGGTGGCCTGTAGGTCAGGTGCCTACTCCTGACTAGTCCAAGCAGCTGTGACCAACAGGCATGAGGGGATCCAGGGGCAAAATGTGGTTTCTCACTCAGCACGTATATGGACAGGTCAATTCCCCCTTATACAGGCTGCAGTTGGGCAGGCCCAGCAAACATGTCCAGTACACATATGTAATCTCAATCCCCAAATGGCCTGTATCTGTCAGGGCTTTCCAGAGAAACCATATATATAGAACACATATATAAACAGGATATAAACACATGTCTACATAAATAAAATACATACACACACACACATATAAATATATGTACATACAATCATGCACCACATAATGGCTTTCAATCAACAATGAACCACATATACAATGGTGTTCTCATAAGATTAGCACCATATAGCCTAGGTGTGTAGCAGGCTATACCATCTAGGTTGTGTAAGTCCACTCTATGATGTTTGCACAAGGACGAAATCACCTAATGACACATTTCTCAGAATGTATCCTCATTGTTAAGCAACACATGACTATATATAGAGAAAGACAGAGACAAGATTTATTTTAAGGAATTGGCTCCTGTAGTTGTGGGGGCTATGAAGTCCAAAAGCCATCAAGCAGGCCAGCAGGCTGGAAGCTCAGGCAGGAGTTGATGTTGCCATCTTGAGTCAGAAATCCACTGGGCTTGCAGGCTGGCACGCTGACATTCAGGTAGGAGTTAATGCTGCAGTCTTGAGGCAGAATTTCTTCTTCTCAGGGAGACCTAGGGATTTGCTCTTAAGGCCTTCAACTGATTGAATGAGGCCCATGCACAAGGAGTAACCTCCTTGACTTAATGTCAACTGATTGTAGATGGTAACCACATCCACAAATTACCTTCACAGCAACACCTAGATTAGTGTTTGATTAGATATATGGGTACTATAATCTAGCCAAGCTGACATAAAAAACTAACCATCACACAGCACTTGAGGTAGATATTGCTTCTCCCATTGTATGGATGAAAAAACTGAGACTTAGAGAGGTTAAGTAGCCTGCCCATGGTTGGAAGGGTGGTGAATGTCGGAGCCAGGTTCTGCACTTGGCTCTGTATGAGTCCAAAGCCCACCCCTTACCTCCTCTGCCCTCCTGCCTCTCAGTCAGGTCAGAAGTCTGAACAAGTCTGAGGTGGCTTTGTAGACTTTCTACTCTCCAAGAAGGTCCTTGGGGAAGAGGTATTTCAGTTTCCTTCCGAGGTAGCAGTTTGCTTCTCCTTTTTTTCCTTTCTTTTCCATGTTTCCTTGCATTTCTCCTAGCCTGCATACCAAACTGGTAGAGTGGTTTCCTTGCTCACTAGTACAATGAAAAAGATGATTTCAACTGTTCTCTTCTCCTCTTGAAAAAGCTTTCTCCCCATCAGTTAGAAGAGGGAGGAAGAATAAAAGAAAACAAGTCAGCATTTCTAGCTTCTCAAGCTGCTTTTCAATAAGGAAAGAGGCAAAGAAAACTCCAGAGATGGGCATGCACTGTACTAAAGATATTTCCTCCAGGGGAAAAGCTACTGCTTCGCAGAGAGGGCTCATTTATTCATTTAATCAGCTTACTGAAGCACCTTCTCCAGTAAAATATTTTGAGTTAGAGTGGCCCTGAAGATGGGTCTAGAGTTTAGTGCTTACTGTGCTAACAAAGAGGTTGATAATAATGATACTTTTATATGTGTACCTGGTGCATTTTACGGTTTAAATGGCACTAACTCACACAGTGTAGGCATGCTCCTTTTCACTCCAGGATTTCTCTCATCCTAAGGTCCTGTCTGAGTTCCCAGCAGGCATGCTAAGAGAAATCTCTGGTGCCTTTGGGAGATGGAGGACAGTCCATCTTGATTCATAAAAATTCCTAGAATGTAGGAACCAGAAGGACCCTCCCCTCAACTGCTTTATTTCCAAATGAGGAAATTGAGACCCAGAGAAGTGACTTGCCAACGTGTAATGACTGGGAGCTGTACCTCAGGGAAGACTGGTCTGTCTTTCCTGTAAAACTCTCCCGTCAGAGCTGCTTTGAGCTGACAGAGAAGGACGTGCACCCTGTCTCCAGGGGCAGGCAGCGAGCTCTATAAAAAGGATGGTCTGTGTGTTTATTCTGCCTCCTGTTATCTTTGGCGTGGCTTTGCATGCCAATCCTTAACCCTTTGCAGAGCTCTGGGCAGTGTCTCCATGGTAGATTAGGAAGAGGGCAAGGCAAGTCCTTGGAAGAGCAGAAAATGTAGAAAGTTCCTAACAGAGTGTATAGAAGGAAATGGGCTGGAGGAGACTGCGAGAAGGAGTCCGAGGGAGGGCTAGGAGTCGAGAATGCCGGCTGTCAGGGCTCCTCCACCAGCCCAACAGCACTTTTAACAGATTTTCCTTATTTGTCAGTGAAGGGGATTTCAGATCATTCAAGATGGACTCAAGTGGTTGCTAAGGCAACAGTGTTACCGTCGTCACTGCCATGGAAACCTTTTGTGTGGCATAATATAAATATTTTCTTTTAAGAATGAGACAGGGAGTTGAGTGGGTGACAAGTTATTTTCTTTCTAATGCTTATGGGCTGTGACTAGAGCCTGCAATGGATGAGGACGGAGAGGACCAAATTAGCTCAGATTCTATATAGTTTACAGAACAGGCTGCTTTTATTTGTTTTTAGATATGAGCCAAAAAAATTAGAGGGAGGGGCAAAAATATCAATGAAAATAATCCATAGTTCTGAAGTGGAGAGAGGTAAGAATTTCCCATTTTCTCTTGTTTTTCTCAGGAATGGTCTGTAAGAACAGATCCTTGGAAGAAGTGGTGAAGGCATTTTGAAGAGTTTCCAAAGCCACCTCTTCCTCCTCAAACCTTCTCCAGTAGAGGAGGAAGCTTTAAGCAAGCACATGAGTGCCGGAGACTCCTGGGGAGGAGTCGTTCAAGTAGTGGCTACTTAGTGGCCAGGGAGAAGGCAGTTTTTAGCTTCACGTGCTGTTTCAGAAGTTAGAGCCACAAAAGTACTTTTTACGTTTGCTACCTTGGGCATGTCCCCACGTTCACAAGGTATTGCAGCCACGCCATCGCTGCACTCAGCTTCCGCAGCAGAAACACCTGTCTCCTGGGTGGGGAGACAGGACCAGATGATCTCCAAGGTACCTTCCAATGCGAGATTCTAGGATTCCCTGATTCCCTCTCTCAAGAGTTTATCATTCTAAGGGGCAGTGGTTCTGTATTCAAAGATGCTCTGATTTTGTTATTCTAAGAGCCTGTTATTTTAGTTGAGTGGCAAAATGAGCCCCGAGGGCAGCAGGTGGGCGGGTTGGAGGAGCTGGTCTCTGCGCTGCCGCTGCACTGGTCTCTGCATCATCCCTCCCAGGCCCTGGAACGCTGATGTCAAGGCCTCCGCCTGGCTCTCCTCCAGGTGGTTTCTGTTGTGGGAGTTTTGCTGGCTTAAGCAACTGGTGGGGGAGCTTATGATGAAACAGGCTCACAGAAGGCACAGCCAGGCTGCAGCGATGACTGGGCCCGAAAGCAGCCAGCACCATCACTCTTGAAAGCTTGCTGGCTGGCCTGCGTTTCTTTTCCATGGACTGGTGGGAGGAGAATAATAGTGGTTCTCTAATCAAGGAGCATTTGTGGAAGGGCCTGGCCCTGTAGCCTGACCTTTAGCTCCCCTCCAAAGAAGAGCAGACGGGGAGCGTGGCTTTGCATGGAAGCTCACTGTGTAACAAGATGAAGAAATTGGCCTGGGAGACTGAGAAGGATAGAAGTGTCATTCCGGTTTATCTCCAACTCCTGGGGGCTGTGTCTGGGAACGCTCTCAACTGTGTGATACTGACCAGGGGCTTTAACCTTCTCAGCTCTGGTTTCCTCTTCTGCAGTGGGGGGATAGCACGGTCGATGGAGCAGACAACAACCAAATCTGTGAAATGATCTCAGGTTTAGAAATGGGGTATGTATACTTATTAAACAATTCTCAGAATGCCGAGGCACCCTCCTTATAACAAGGGAGAGGGAGCATTTGAATATAGAAAAGGAATACCACCTCCTTCATCACAGAGTGAAATAAAGGAAGATGTTTGCTCCAGAAAAGGGTTGGTTACTATTTTTTTTTTAAAAGAAATCATCAGGTTAGATTCATGGATGATGGAATCTTGGCAAGATTTTTTTTTTTCCTCTCTGTGAAAACAGTTTTATTGCTGTTTTGGTTTATATAATTAATACACGCTCTTTGGAATAATTTGAAAAACATATAGAAGGGTAAAAAAGAATTTAAGGGGCCAGCCCAGTGGTGTAGCGGTTGAGTTCCCACGCTCTGCTACAGTGGCCCGGGGTTTGTGAGTTTGGATCCCGGGCACGGACCTATACACCACTCATCAAGCCATGCTGTGGCAGCATCCTACATACAAACTAGAGGAAGGTTGGCACAGATGATAGCTCAGGGACAATCTTCCTCTCCGAAAAAAAAAAAAAGAACTTAAAAAATCACTTAAAATCCCACTACCCTGAGACGATCCTATTAACAATTTGTTGACAGTATTTTGCATATACATAAATATTGTATATACACACACACATGCACCATTTGACATAAATGAGACCATTTCATGCATACTCTTTTTATTTGGAGAGGCTTTTTTTTATGCGGTCTTTTGCTGTCTGACCTCCCTGCTTCCTTTCTGCCTGCCTCTTCGCCTGCATCAACCCTCCTTCGCATTCCAGGTAACCTGTGATGAGCACCTTGTGTACCAGGCTCCAAGCTAGAAGCCAGGGAGTCAGAGGAAATACATGAAAAAGTGTATTCTAGAAAACTCTTCAAGTCCCCTATCCAGATCCAACTCCTTCTTTTATTAGTTTAGTCCCTGGTGATTTGTTGGTTTTTGTTTATTTATTTTCCCTTTGTCTGGATTTTAATTGTGTGTGTTTTTTGGCCACTTGGGAAAATGTCATCAAATAGATGATCATTATATCCCCATGGACTCTGGCTTCTGTTTCTACCAGACAGATTCTAAGGAGAAGGACTGTTGGGTGAAAGTATGTGGATTTTTTATTTTAAAAGATAGAGGGAAGTTGATCTCCGAAAGGGTTACTCTCACATCTCTACTTAGAATGAAAGGAGGCATTTGTAGGGAGCCTCGCCCCAACTTTCTCATAAGCAGTAGTTTTTCTTCTCTTCTACTTTTTGTCATTCTGGTGGAGCTAAAGTGATATCACATAACTTGTAAATGTTGCATTTCTCTGATTTTTAGGGGTGCTGGGCATATTTTCTTATGTTTTATTGACCGCTTTGATTCATAGATTTTGCCTTTTCTTCTCTATACTTTTTTTTTAACTTTTTAATTTGAAATTGCTTCAAACTTACAGAAGATAGTCACATGATATCATTCGGGATGTCAACCTGATCACTTGGCGAAGGTGGTGTCTGCCAGATTTCTCCACTCAAAGTTACTGTTTTCACCCAAGTTAAGGGTTTCTTTTGACCTCAGCTGAGCCACAGTGCCTGACTCTCAAGTCAAATCTAAGTATTGCAGCCGACACATGAGAAACCCCTGCCAGTTGCAGACAAACGCCAGTCATGGACAGGCAATGATCTTGCAAAGTCACTAGCTGCTATGCTCACTCTTATAATAAGAATAATTGCTGACACTTTTTGAGTGCTTACTATGTCCTATAGGAGCCAATGGTGTCTTTTTGTTGCTGTTGTTTGTTGATTTCAAGCAAGTCTGTCTCAATCCCTAGCAGTGTTCTTTTTATCAAAAATTAATTTTTTTTAATCAAAGTAACACGTGTTCATAACTTGAAAGTTAAATGATACTAAAAGGCTCATTTGGCAGCACCAATCCCTTACCCATTCTTTGCAACCCTTGCATCCTCCAGTCCTGCTCACTAGAGGTAACTACCCACAACTCTTTTAGCTAGCTCTTCTAGAATTTACCTCCAATTCTTCTCTAATTCTTAATCTCTCTAATTTTAGTCATTTCCTAACATGGTAGGTAAGGAGCTGGCTCTCATATACCAACGTTCCTTCCCATTATCTCTCCCCCATCTCCCAAACATAGTTACATTATAATGTTTGAGTAAATCGACACTCTATATATTTCATCATTTTGGTTATGTGAATATTTTTCACTGTGGAGCCAAGTGGTGAGTTAGATTATGCTTTCCTTGTCGTGTGGCCCTTGGTTTTTCCTGGAGTTTGTTTTACATTTCTCTATTTTTCTACAATCTACTTTTTCCTCAAATGTTGCATCATTCTTGACTAATTCCAATCAATTAAATTTTCCATATGCTTGACCACATCAGTTCCATTTATTTTTTCCTAGAGACGCCCCTGTTCTAGGATTGGTCCTTTCTCATAGCACCATGTTCTGATTTTATGATGCAATATCCTTTTTTACGCTCCCTGTAGTATCTGTTTCCTCCAATTTCCCTTAGTTTTTGAAGGATTTTGTCTCTCTCATGTTGAAAGTGTTCCTCACATGTCGTATCCTTGGCTGTCTATTCCCTTTAAAAGTGAAGCACTAAAAAGCTACTGGAAGCTCCAGGGTATGTGGATAGAGCCTGTGAATGATTGGCTTTTCTTTAGGATTTTCAAGCACTGAGCTGGAATGTTTACAAGGGTAGATGCAAATATCAGTTTTCTGGCTCTGTGGCATGAGGAAGGGACCTGGAATCCCAACACAGTATATGCAGACTTTCAAACAAGGATTCTTGTTTTCCGACCAGAGCCTCAGCCCTTTTTCTCAGTAGAACCTCCAAACCCTGAGTCTATCAGGAGTCTGCGGGTTCTCCTTAATGCCAGAATTTTCTACAACAAACCCTTGACTTATAATTTTGTCCTCTCTGCTAAGTCAGTGACCGCTTTTTCATCTGCTTTCCATTCTCCAAAAATTCATTTAAATGTCTTCTCTGCTGTTGCTCTCCTGTTCTGTATGTCCTTGTGTCCATTTTTTTCCCCCTTTGCTATCATTTTGGCAAAATTTTAGTGGGGCAAAGAAATGAACACCTGTGGCCAATCAGCTTTTTAAAACTGAAACTCATCACATGAATTCTAAAGACATTAAGCCTCCAAAAAGAAAGCAATTAGGGACTTAATTCCTTTCTCCCAGAAACCTCCTTGCCACCCACGCAAATTTGCCTACTTACTTCCAGGGAAATAATTTCTCTAGACCAAAAGCTATGAGTGGGTAGACTTTAGCAACTAAAAGACATATCCTGTTATGTTGACAAATGGAAGGGAAGAGGAGGGCAAAACGGGGAGAAAACCAAATGTTGGAAGGCCTTGAAAGGAAGGGAGCCAAGGAAGTAACGAGAGATTACAAAGACTAGAGGAGACGAGAGGAATGAAGAGTTCAGTACCACCTTTATTCCTTAAGTCTCTTCTGCTTTCCATTCTTAATATCCTTGTCTTAATTTACACTTATAATTCCTTATACCCAGACTGTTACAATGGTATCCCAACAGATGGCCTTCCTTTCGCTCTTGGCTCTCATAAATCCATCTTTGGTTATGTCACTCTCTGTGTCTAATCCTTTTTTGGCTCCCCAGTGCCCTCAGGATGAGGTCTAAGTTGCTCCCATGACATACTTGGTCCGTGTTTGCCTCTCCAGCCCCATCTTTTCCTACTTCTTGCCACGAACTCCTGCCATGAATTCTGCTCATGTTTTCCCTTCAGCCTGCAATGTTCCCTGCCTGGTTAATGCCTGCTCATTCTCTAAGACACTCAGTCATTGCTCACCGTCAGGAAGTCCCACCCCCACCTCACTCCCTTGGCTAGGTGCTCCTCATTGGGCTCTCATAACAACCAGTGTCTCTATATCCTCACTCATCTCTGTGTGTGTGCATGCGCACGTGTGTGTGTGTGTGTTTAAATGGTTATCTGTTTACTATGTGCTCCCTAGCCTGTGGAGTATTCAAGGAAAAAAACTGTGTTGGTCTTTGAATCTCTATCACTTAACAAAGTACCCTTCACATAGTAGGCAAAATATTGAATAAATGAATGAGTGAATGAGTGAACAAATTTCAGGAGTCATCTGGATGGGGCACCTAAAAAAGTTTTCAATCAGGGGGCTTGTCTACAGGTGAGACAACCTGGGTCAGTGCCCGTACAGTCAACCATGAAGGACCTTGCTGAGTAGTACAAAACAAGATATTGTCATATCTTATTTCACAACAAATTTCTGATGGGACAAAGACTTAACTTAAAAGAGAGAAAGGGCCATAAAAGTACTAGAAGAAACTATGTGAGAATTTTGTATATAGAAAATGTTTTTCTAACCATGAAATAATATCTAGAAAACTTGAAATTCTGATGGTTCATCTGTATACTCTTTTTAACTGCATGAAAACAATGCTATAAATAAAGTCAAAAGACTAACTGGGAAAACTGTTTGTAGCAGGCGTAACAAAGGGCTAATTTGCTTGTTACCTAGAGTCACTCCAATGATGACACAATCCAATAGAAAAATGGGCAAAGGGCGTGAACAGAGAGTTCACATAAAAGGAAACATAAAAGACATTAGAAAGATGCTCAACTTTATCTATAATGAGAAAAATATAGATGAAATATTTGGAGATCCCATCTTCGCTTAGATTGGCAAAGATCAAGCTGGTTTGGCAAGGATGTGGTGAAACAAGCAGTTTTACATATTGTTGGTAGGGATGTAAATGAATACAACATTTCTGGAAGACAATTTGCTGATATCTATTAAAATTGAAAATGTACGTACTTTCGATCTGGCCTTTGCACCTCTAGGTACACCTTACATCTAGGAGTATAAATTTAGATGCATCAGGATATCTATTGCATTCATTAACAAATATTGAGTGCATGGTATGTACAAAGCACTGTGTTAAATGCTAGGGATATAGTGATGGGCAAAATGACAAGGCTCCTGCTCTCAGGCAATTTGCAATGTACTGGGGCACAGAGGCATCAGTCAAATGGCTGGATTACCTAGGCGACGGATACGAGGGCCTACGAGATATACCTAAAAGGAAACTGACAGGAATCCTGGAAGGTTCCCCTACATAGGAAATATTGCCACTGTGAGCTGCATTCAGAGGGTTCAAGTTTGGAGAGATCAAGTTCAATTGTCTATGGTGGCAGTTTGACATAACACGAGAGATTCAAGTAACACTCGTTCTTATTCTATACATCCTAGATAGAATAAGGTCTATCCTTACTCTAGAAGGTAGAATAGTCTATTCTTTTCCACCTTTTGTACCTTGTCAAAGACTAATGCAATTTAAAGAAGGAGGGAAGGAAGAAAGGGCATTTAGCTTCTTTGAGCTTCAATTTCATTATCTGTAAAACGGGGATGATAACATCCTGTAGGATTACTGTGAGAGTTAAATAAAATAACAAGTGGGTCCCCAGCAAGGAAGAGCAGTGAAAGAAGACTGACTTGTTCACCCAAAGCATTTGACGCAGGATACCTGATTAAGAACTAAGAACTCATCCTGCCCTTTGACAAAACCACATTTAAAGTATTCCACGCAGGGGAGAACTTTTCCTTCTTCTGCGATCTCAGGAGGAAAAGCACACAGCGTTTTTTGATAAACCCACCCACAGTTAAAAAGTAAACTAATTCTCAGTGTGTTAGAATAATCAGATCTTACAGCTAAAAGCCTAGAAAATAATAGAACACAGGGAGCAAATCTAGGAACTTGCCTGAGGTGCCCCCATTGGTGAATGGGGGCATTCTTTCTCCATTATTGTCTGTTTTCCTCATGGTTAGCCTAAATCTTTCTGGCTGACATTTTTTCCTTTGTTAAGAATATTCCTGTGACCTTCCATATATGCCTAGGCATTGGAGGGGGCTGGGGGCTGGAATAAAATCAATATAATACATGCATTCTGCCTTCGAAGGCTTTAAAATTATAGGTGCAAGAGGCAGACAAGGGGACAATTAGTAATCAGTTGAGCACAGTGGGTAATAAAGTGCTTTCTTGAGTGGCATGGGAAAATCTTTGAATAAAAGTTACCCATTGACCTTCTCTAGACAGAAAGACAATGCCTCATTGTCATTTCAGGTGTTATTTGGCTTCTTATGTCAAGGTCAGAGTATTTCCCTGAAACGCTCTCAGACAAATTTCTAAAATACCAGGCCACATCACAGAGGCCCTCAGGGCAAGCTCTGGGCATGTTTAGGGCATAATACAGTGTCTAGAACACAGCAAGTTTTCAATCAGTGCTTTGTGGTTTGTGATTGGTTGGGTTTAACGCCTTTCAGAATTTGCCTTCTTTGGTAGTAATCAAGGTCTATTTTATATTTATAATCTAGTTTCTAAATGTTTCCAAGTCAAAATTACACTACAGCCCAGACAGCTTTCAATTCACAATCTCTTCGTTGAATGACAGGAGAGAAGGATAGGAGGATAGGAGGAGAGAGCTGCTCAAAGGCTGCAGGTAAGAGGGAGAGGGCTTGGGGACAGAGAGGTTCTCAGTGGTAATTTGTCTCACTGGTTCACGCCTATGGTTGAAAAATGCTACTTTGGGGTGTACACTGGAATCACCTGGAAAACTTCTTAAAAATGTTGATTCCTAGGTCTCAACCCAGATCAATTAAACCAAAATCTCCAGGTGTAAGTCCCAGGCGTCAACATTTTTTAAAGCTCCCCAAGTAATTCTAATATGCAGTCTGGGTTGAAACCCACTGGCCATGGCCTTCACTTTCCATCCATTCATTCAGCAAATAGTTATTGAGTGTCTGCTACATGCCAGGCATTTCTCTAGGTGCTAGGGCCTGAGCACTGAACTGAGCAGACAAAGGTCCCAGCCTTCATGATGGAACTTGCCTTCTTACGCTGCACCCACAGGTGCTTGGAGTGCCTCACAGGATTTAGGGGATGGGCTTTAGAAACAAACAGACCCCCTTCTAATCCATAGTAGGGGGCAGGTGGGGCCCTTGGGCATATGTCAGACACTCCGTGTCTCTTTTAGTGTTTGCATATGGAAAATAAGGATCATCATACCTACTTCACAAGGTAGCCAGGAGCTTGAAGCGAGATGATGGATGTGAATGGACCAGCTGGAGGAGGGCAGGGGGAGGGGGCCAGGCACATGGTAGATGTTGAGTAAATTGTGCTTCTTATTACATGAAAGAGGGAAGTAATCAGGGCTTGGGGAACTGTTCCAGTGGAAAGCTACTCAATCAGATTTTAAATATATTCTCTGAAAAATTGCTCAGGAAGGAAAAAAAGAGATTTTTTTGAGCAAAGTGCAGGGGGAGAAGGAGAAAATAAATGTAATAAGTGCCTCTCTCCTGCCAACTGGTTGGTTTTGGAAACTTTGCACCTTAAGGTAGGTGGTTTCACACGCTGTGAGGGCCTGGCTGGAGCAGCAGGTGAGAGAACCACAGGGCGTGGGTCCACTAACAACAAATGGTTCGGATTTCTGATGAGGCTGGAGAGGAGGAGGGGTGACAAGGCCAAGGAGAGCTCCATAGGGATGCTTTAACTCAGCTTTTCTCTTGAGGATCAAAGCATCATAAGGCTTGGGAGGCATCTTAGAGATCATATATCCCAACCCTACGTGTGGAGGACATATCTGCCTGGAGGACAGAGGGGACTTCTCAGGTCCCACAGCCAGCTGTACAAAGTCTGAGATCAAGGAGCCCCAGGGCTCCCGAAGGCTCTTTCTCCTCAGATGGGGAGAAACAGACCTGGAGGAAAATGTTAATTCCACAAAGCAGGCCCAGCCCTGTGACCTGCCTTCACCTGATCTCATCGAGCTGATTTGTTCCGGCTCCTCCTTGGGGGGTGAAGCGGGTGCTGCCTTGAGGGAGGGTCAGCCCTGATGAGTGAGCTGGGCCGGGTCTCCTTCCACAGCCTGCTGCCCTGGATCTCCAGATGCCTGTGGGAGGTACCGCCCCTCCAACCCAACCCGGCAAAATGGAAAAGTTCCCTAGACTTTTCAGAGGTGGCCCTTCGCCTGCTGTTAGGAGGCTGCCTCACTTAGAACCTCCTCTTAGCAAAAATTTACAAGGACATCCTCCTCCCTTCCATCTTAAAGATGAAGACAAGAGCCTCTGAGGCGTGTGATACCTCTAGGAGACTCAGAACGTGACTTGGTAATGGGGTCTGCTTCATACCTGTCTGCCCCCAGACAGCCTGTCAGCAAAGTGGGCTACCTCACTCCACACCATTTATTCCATTCCATTCCATTCCATGAGCACTTACTGTGACAGGTGCTGGTGGAAGAGATAAATTAGAAATGGTCCCTGTTCTCAAGAATCATAATTTAACCAGGATGACATACACATAAGATAAACCTAGTTGTATAACGTTCACAGAGAGTAGTTTTCTCTTCTGACCTGCCAGTCCTTCATCTGGTTCTCTATGTCTCAAACAACAGCCTCTCCCAACCTGGGGATTCTGTAGAGACCCCTGTAATGATATCTTGCTTTAATACCCTGGGATCCACGTGAAACATGCAAAATGGTGAGCAGATTGTACACCAAACCTGCTGTGGTTGTTCCACATTGAGTTTTATTTATTTTTAATTCAAGCCAATCTTTAAAAATTTGAAAGTTTCCTATAAAAATATTGATCTCTAGCTTCTCTTGAAAGCTATGGAACTCTGGCAACTTTGGGCCCTTGTTGGCAACAATGGACTAGAGCTGAAAGCAAATGCCCCCTCGATGAAGAAACCAGCTCATCCACAAACCACAGCGCAGCACGTCAGGAGTGCAAGAGAGGAAGTTAGGCTCACCAAGTTGCGAGGTCCTTAACAGCTGACAGGGCGAACCCTGTGATCCTTCTCAAATATATGTTGTGAGTAGTCATTTCATGCCCTTTTAAAGTGTGCTGGCCTTTCATTCTAAGATCTTTCTTCCCTTTCCCTACCTGAGTGTCAGGAGGCCATCCCTCCCTTAAAGATAATCAGGTAATTCTTAGAGGGATCATGATTTGTACTTGTTTATAAAATAAAACCTGTAATTTTGATGTATTATGGAAGTGGGCTATAGTGGCTGTCCAGCTACTGTCTGGTGAATCCATCCTCCATCCTTCCTGCAATCATATTCTTGATACACAATAAGGACTTATTCTGCGTTTTGAATCTATGGGCTTATATTCCATAACATCCTTTTGACAAGACATGGACTTTTTGATTTGACGTAACCCCTACCACTGTTTATTGCCCCCTCAACACTGGGGCTGAATATTGGTTTCCTTTTATTATCATCTTCGTATTGCTAAACAATTGTAAACACTATTTTTTGTGATAGTGAAATATTTTTTTTAACTCATATTCTCATGTCTCCCTAAAGGCGGTAAAAATGAAAGCTAGACTGAGAACATAGGACATATTTCTTTGTGCAATAAAAGCTATCTTTACGTGTTTAATATGCTAAGTGGGTCTGAGTTAATTTTTTAAATCTTGCTTCACTCATTCATTTATATAATCTGCCTGATCCTTACAGATGTTAACATTTGCACTCGCAGCTAGAAGCATCTTACTGACAAGGCACAAGAAGATCTGCAATTTCCCTCTTCCTCTCTGTGAGGCAGGGAGAGAGCAGGTATGACTAATAACTACCATTTCGCAAAGCTCTGCTGAAGCCAGAGAGAGAGTGGGGGCGTTCCCTGTGAGCTGCACTGGGAATAGCCCAGGACCTGAACCTGTTCTTGGCTTGAATCCTGGCTCCACTAATGACTCTGGGACTTTAAGCAATTCTCTGTCTGAGCCTCAGTTTGCCTATCTGCAAACTGTGGATGATGCCACCTATTTTGTTGGGTTGACGTGCCGACTAGACATATTAACAGAGGAGCGGGGGAGGTGTTTGATGGATCCACAGTTCCACGCTGAATTGGCAGTGGTAGCTCAGACCCAGGCCAATATCCACGCATGGTGTGTCCTCTTCGCAGAGTGTTTTGAACACTGTGGGGAAGGCTGCCTATACCTCTTAGTGCTCAGGATGGTTTAGATTGCAAAGACAGATTTTTTTAAATCTTTAAAGTGTTTTTGTGAAAATAAAATTTAATTCATGCTAAAGAAATTAGTAGGAGACTTCTTCCTTTTCCTACTCATTTATCTAGTATTTAATGCTCAGGCACAGCAGACCTGAGTGGGTTATAGACTCAGGGATTCCCTCTGCAATAGTCATTGGCGTTATTGCAAGGGCAGGGAGAGCAAGGCTGGGATGGAGAGTCAAGTCTCACAGCTGCGAAGACGTTACTGCAGTGGTTCTCACACTGCTGCTGGAGTCTGCAGTGAAGAGCTGGCACTGGTGCCCCCAGAGCTGCAGCTCTGAGGGGCCAGAGCAGCTGGGTCTTCCTGGGGAACTTGGTGGTCCAGCAACTGGCTGATTTCCTTTTAGAGCTGTGGGGGGCTCTGTGCCATGTAGTCACCTGAGCCCCCAAGCAGACCAGTGGGATTCTCCACATCTCACAGGGTCCCTGAGAAAAATTGCTCCTGCAGCTTCTGCCTGCAGCATCCCTCTGCAAAAGTCTCAGTCAGGTGTCTGTTCCTGGGGCGAGGCCAGGGTCCAGGAGCTGATCCGTCTTGTTCTCCCCAGCCCCCTCCCCTCTAAGGCACAAGCTGCTTTGTGCATCTTATATAGGAAAACCCAACAAATCCATGTGCAGGGCCCACTTTTACTACTCAGTTATGCATGCTAGCCATGTTTAAATTCAGCATGAGATGCCCATCACATGCCTGACTCACTCCCACAACCAGGGTGTGCCACCTGTGCAGTCACCCAGGGACTACCCTCACAAAGGGCTCTGAACTTGGTTTTATGCTCTGTTGTCACTGTCGTGAATTCTTAATCATTTTACCTTAAACTCATGCTTTGTAAATGAAGTCTGATGGGATAATGGAGCATGTGAGTGTGAGCAGAGGAGACACCTTGGGGGGCAGTGCAATACATGTGGTCCCATGCCTGCTGCCACAGTGGGCAGCAGACAGCAGGCATGCTGATTAGTTGGCCCAGCAGCCTGGGGCAGGACCTGAGCCAAGACTGGTGGTGATGACAGTGCCAGTAGCAGCAGTGGTGGCCACTGCAGCCAGGCTCTGGGAGAAAGGAGGGACTCTGCATGAGAGCAGCAGGCCCACGGAGGGAGGCCAGTTTACCTGTCTGTCCCCAGAAACCATCCTTATAACATCTACACAAATGTTAACTCTCTGACCTGAATGCCAAGGTAGGAGCTGCCAAAACTCAGACAGTATGCTTTGTCAGTAAATCATTACAAAATAAATGCGTATACATTGCAGTAAAGCATATTGGGAGTTACTAGAATTCTTTAAAGAGTTTAGACTCTCTAGTTTTTTTGCAAAGCAAATATGCACAGCTTTAGAGTAGAAATTAAATTCAAAGAGTATTGCACTCGATAGAAAAAGATACTTTTCATATGAAGCTTTAGATGAACCAATTTTTAATAGGGGAGAGAATTATAAAATTAATTTTCCCTGTAATTGAAGACACAGTGATAAAATGCATAAACAGATGTTCTGAATTACATAAAACCATGAGGCTACTTTCAGTTTCTTGTATGACTTTCACAAGTTACAGGAAATGTCAAAGGAAATTTAAAATGCCATTGTATAAAATCACCTTAAAATTAAATTCAGACTACATGAAACTGGTTTATACAAAGAGTTAAATCTTCTTAGAAAAACTGTTTCATGAGAATCATCAACTCTAGATGTATTAAAATATATATTTCAAAATAATTCATCAATTACCCCAACGCTTCCACAGCCTATAAAATACTCTGAATAGCTCAGTAACAATTGTATCATCAACAATGCATGAAAGATTGTTCTCAACACTAAAGAGATCAGTTGTCAGCTTGTCGTCTCGCATTTGCCAAAAGCGACTCATACTGCCTTTAATTCTATTGATTGAAGATGAAATCACTAACAGTATAAATGAATTTGTAGGAAAATCTCATGATTAGTCAATACATCACATGATTATTATTTATTGTATTATATAAAATTGTGATACCAAGTTGTTATTTTGCAACTTGTAAATTTATGTTGCCACTCATATATTGCTATTTATCACCCGTATTATGTTTTATAAGTAAAAAAATATTTTTAAGAGGAAAAGCTTTATATTTTAGTACCTTTAATGTCTCCCTTATTCCTGCTTTTTGAATAGGTAGTGCTGCATTTTCATTTTGCACCGGGCACTACCAACCCCATAGACCACCCTGCTTACACCTTCTCTGCGGGCTGCATGCCCTTTTGTTGGCATTGAATCCTGCTCCCATCCTGCTCCCACTTTCATGCTTGCTATTTCTCTTTTGTGGAAGTCCTTCCTAAAAAACTGCTTGCAGACCTCCGCAGTGTTCTGGCCAGTATGGAGAAGATGCACACTACTAACTTGCAGCCCCCAGAGCCACACGGTTCCCTTAAGGCAGCCGGAGACCGTATCAGCATGTTGGCAGCCTTCTCTTACTGCTGGCCCAGGCTAATGCTGCAGCCAACTAAAAGTCCAGAAGATTTCCACCCTCCCTGCTTGCTGCCAAGCCAGGCCTTGCCACTCTGGGTGACTGTGGTTTTTGGACCCTAGTGAGGACCTTTCCATTTATCTGGTTAAATTCCACATTTTCTCACCTTGTTGAGATGATTTCAGATGGGAATTCTGCTCTTCAATGCTTTAGCTTTTTCTTATAGCTCCATGGTGTCTCAGATTTGACCAGTGTGCCTCCTCTGTTTTTGTCTTGGCCACTGATAAAAATGGATTTGCTGGAGGGTGGTACCTAATACAGGAGAATGCAGTATCTGGGATGGTTTAACTTGGTTGGGGCCCTCTGCCTCTCTCTGCTCCTTTTTCTCCCTCTCTCCCCTGCTCCTGTTAGCCCAAGTATGCATGATGCCTCTTGGAAGCCTCATCTTTCATCATGTTCCCTCATTAGACACTCCACTCAGAATGCCTGTACTAGGGAAGAGCTCTGGGTAAAATGGTCAAGTGTGCAGAGCTCGCTCTCTTCCGCCTCCTTGTTTTCAACCTCCAAAGTCATAGGGCGGGCAGAAGAGGCCAGTACCATCTGCTGTTCTTCATTTTGGAGGCACCCTGGGCCTCTCCAAGCTGGAGTACCACTTACCCAATCTTTAGCAGCGGGAAGGTAAAAGGCAAGTCAGATGCTGAGGTCCTAGGGATTTAATTTCCCTCCTGGGAGAACTTCCTTCAATTCAATCATCTTGTGCAGAAGACGTGACTTTGGACAAAGCATCTTATCTCCTTTATTGGATCCCTGACAAGTTGGCTACATTACCTCACTCAGGTAACAAGAGTTACAGAAAGATAAGCACTTGGGACTATAGATAGACAGGGAGGCAGCAGAGAGTAAGATTTAATTTCCTGTTCCTTTGGACATAATGCCACTGCCTCTTCCAAATATAAAACATTACATGAGAGTCCTTGATTCCAGGCTGACCTCTGGCTCTACCTTCCAGACAAGCACTCTCACACTTCTGAGATGGGATTCACCCATCCCACAGCTACACGGTCTGGGGGTCCTTGGTTGGAGCTGAGAACTTCTCCAGTTTTCACATTACCTGTAACTCCAGTTTCTGAACCTATGCCTAGCTGAAGCCTCCGAACCCACAAACCCCCAGTTCTTCACTGACCAAAGCGCCATAGCTTTGCTTTATTCTTTGGCTTCTGTGGGTCCCCTGGTTCTTAACTGCCTTCTTGATTCCCGGCCCATGACCCCTCTCTAGGCTTAAGCATTGTCGCCATTGCAACGCAAGCCTGCCTCAGTTGTCCTGGCCCATCTCCAACATCCGCCATCATCTTTGATGCCGGTGTGAGAAAATAGCTCCTGTCCCTGCCTCCTCATTTTTCTCACAAGCTGCACAACCCCCTGAGCTGTACTGGTCATAGTTCTGAACTACCGGGACAATCCCTTAGAAAATAGACTCTCCTAAGAATTCCAGGAAGGTGCTGCTCTAAGTCAATTGGACACTGCCCTTGCCATTCTCAAAGGAGCAGTAGATCCTGTTTTTGTAGCCAAAGCAAAGCACTATGCTTTTACAAACATTGTATATTGTGAACAGATGGGCTTTTTGTAAATCAGACTCTATTGCAAGTGATCCAGAACAACTCTTTATCAAAAAGAATCCTGAGAAAAATCTTACAAAACAGAAAACTTACCTTCACTAATTTAACTGCTTCCCAAAGCTGAAGTTTTATGTATGAGCATCCTGTAAGTGGCACCTGGGTTTTCTGCCACCTGACTGCTCCATTGGCCGCTCTGCAAGACTCTTCGCAGTGCGTCCACAGTAACTGGATCTCATCCACGCTGCATGCCTGACCTACCTCATTTACATGTTTATGGAAAACCTGTGTTTTGGAGGCTATGTTTAAAGGTTGAAGGCTCTTTCTGAAATACAGCTTTAAAAATGTTCAAATTAACTGTGACTACAGATGAACATTTGGCTGTTGTCGCTTAGCACCAGGAAAATACAAGTTACGAGTTACAGGTGAAATCTTCATGGAGAAATGCAGACGTTGTTCTGCTTTCAAACCAGCCCTCTTGGGTTGGTACTATGTACTTTTTGAAAAACAAATCTGAGCGTTGAGCATGCGTGGAGGCCACCTATTTAAAAAGTCATGTCTCTGCCCAGCTCCACGTTTTGCTGTCTCTATCCACAGGCAGGTTGCACACAGAAAGTAGGGGACCTGGCTCCTACCCAAGTTGTCCGCTCTAAGGCCTTGCCCTCTTTTGGGCCCCAGACTTAGAAGGGCCCTAAAGTCTGCTCCACGGTCAAGTTTAAATACCAAGGGAAGAGTTACAGATTATGCCTCTGGCAGAAAAGGCTGATTTTCCCAGCAACTTTTTACCCAACTCAAATAACACCACCTCTCAGAGGCTTGCCCATTCTCTTCCTTCTCCTTCAACTCAGAAGCTCCTTGGACCATACTTGACATTCAGGGCAAGCAGGGACATTTGGAGCCAGCATAGGGTGCAAGAAGCCAAGGAGATTCCTCCATTTGCATAGAACCTCCTGCAGTTGTATTTATTTAAAG